ATTTACGAAGGTTAGAGATGGTTTAGTGGACTAAAATAGTTGGACAAGTTCAGTTAGGTTTTAAATGTGGGAGTTCATTAAATCCTGAGCGATGGTGTATGGGAATAGTGGTCCTAGTCTAGTTTTAGGCCGGAAGATGGGTTTTTGGTGAGGTGAATTTTTGGGTTTTGGTTAAGGGTAAGTCTAGGAAGGGTGTAGGCCAATATTCTGAGTCTTCCAAGATTTTGGCTCCTTGGAATTCCTTCAACAGAGCACGGTGTCTACAGTTGCCCTCTTTGTCGCTCATGTCGCACACTTTGAGTGAGACGGACGGCAAAGAAGTAGACATCTGAGCCATAGAGTCAGAGAAATACAGAGTTGAACAAACAAATTTCGATGCAAAGTAATTGCTTGAATGTCTGACAACAGTCGGTCAATGGCGCCTGTGGTTTTCGAGACCTGGAATTGAGCTTAACTCATCTATTGGCGCGATCGCTGAGAGCTCCATTTATTGGTGAGCTTAGGTTGTGGTGTCAGATTTCAAGGAAAAATAGAGTGTTCAATGTTTTCAAACATAGTTTGAAAGTGATTAAGTAGAAAACGCAAAGAATTCTCAGCTAAGTGAATAGCAGGTTGGGATTGTCGATTTCTCAATTCAAGTCTTGAAGGGCCAATGCTTTTAAGGCTTAGGGCAATTTTGTAGGGAGTCTCTAGGGTTCAGGATTTAGGTTTGTAACACCTGTCCAGGCGTTCCCATCAAAATCGATTGGTCTTTGGTGCGCCCTCATCATCATTGCCAAACGCAGATCCGACTCCTTCGTTTTAGGGAATCTTTTTTTGTTGAAAATTTTCAAAAAACAAAGATGGAAACTTTGAAAAAGAAAAAAACACACCCTAGTGCCGGGTTAGGATTTTAAAAAGAAAATTAAAGTTTTTTGAAAATCGATGAGCAGCAACAAAAAGGGCAATTTTTTTTGTTGGAAATGCTTTTTTTTTATTGTTGAGAAAATAACATACTTCAAAGGGAAAGTCTCAAAAATCCTATGTAAGGATGAAACAGTGGAATTTCCCATGGAGCACTTTCTATTTGTGCATTAGGCACTTTCCAAGTTTGGATAGTGAGTCCCAAGGATGCGTTTGGAATTTTCATATTCTCCCATACCCTTTTAGGGCATAAAAAGCTTGCAAAAATATCTTTTAGGACCATTGGAAGCCTCTTGTAATGGACTTGTCTGAAATAGGTGGTGCAAAAACATCCTATTACGTTAGCATTAATGGATATTATGCACATGTAAAATGTATTTTGCAAAGGCAGCTGCTGTTCAAATTTTTTGTAGCATACCATCTTGGGTTATTTTTACCGTTGCAAGGCTGTATAGGGTACAAAAATCTATAAATAGGCAGAACTATATTTGCAAAACCCCATTTTGCAACAATTGAGCCTTTTTAAGAATTTTTTTTTTTTGCAATTCACATGTTACTGGTGTTGTGTCTATGGCTTCACTTGAAAAGACTGTTCATGTTATGAGGGGGGAGGATACCCTTTTAGTTCAAGATTCTTTGCCTTTCCTAGGGGTCTCCCAGACCATATAGCAAATAGTATTTTAGCAGGAGAGAGACCTAAGAGAGTCCCGGGTTTTCCTTCTATGCCAAGATGGTTTAGGAATTGGTACAATGCTGCCCATGATTGGGTAGCACTTACCTCTTTTTGTCGACCTTATCCATGACAGGCATCTTTAAGATGGCCTCGTCCCATGTAGACCTTAATCTCATAAAGGCATTGACCGAGAGGTTTAACCATCTCACCAATACCTTTTTCCTGCCCACGGGTGAGGCCACTCCGACTTTGGAGGAAAGAGCCTGTATCTCTGGTTTTGGGTTGTCGGGGACACCATACCATCCCCTCACAATAGTGATCGTGCCGCAGATGGAAAACGTCTCTTGGGTTTAAAGTTCCCATCTCGAGAAGAATGGGTGGACCTTGAGGATCCAATAAAGAGTGTAAGTTCTCTTAAACTCGAAGAGCGCCTTAGGGCATTCTACTTCTACTTGGTAGGGATCGTTCTCTTCCCAATGGGAACAACGATGGTCCTTGCCTCGTTGATCTCGATTGCTCTCGTCTTTTGGCAGCAGCGAGAGATTACAATCATTCTCGCCGTACTTGCAGAAATTTTCAGGGGCTTATACAACCGTGTAGGGCATGGTGAGCGCTACATTCAAGGGGCAATGATCTTCTTGCAGGTATGACCTCGTTCATCTTTCTTTCAAATCTTGTTTCCAATATCCTTGACTGCTCACTAATTTTGTTCTCTTTTCGCAGATTTGGGCCTACGAGCATATTCCAGTGGTTCGGCCTATGAAGGGGAAAATCACCGCGGCGGACGCGAGGGGGCTGGCCCACAATGAAAATGATGCAAAACCCCTAAGGTTGATGAGAACCGCATGCTCCTTAATGACTTTGAGGAGTTTGATTGGTGCATGAAGGGGCTTGGAGATTTGATACTCATCCTCCCCTCTCCAAGTCACAAGCACCTTCTTTTGGCAGTACCAATGTACCATCGTTCAGAAATCTGCATAATAAGCTTGAGGGAAACAGAATTGCCGGACCACCCATTAGGGAAAAGGAGGGTGAGGCAGAAAAACCCTACTAGCATCTGGGTTATTTATGCCTGGAGGGGGACTCGAGTCCATTCTTCCTCGAACCAAAGGTCTAGGGGATGTGGGTCGATTCAACCTTGCCCCACTTGGCTAAGGTTAACTTGATGAACTTGTTTTGCTTATTAGGATTATGGTCGTTTTTTTCTCTTTTCTTTTTTTTTTGGTAAAGAATAAACTAAGGTTAGTATTTTGGAGAAGATCAGAAGAGTGCTGAGAAAACTAACTAGGGGCTTAACCACAGTTAGGGTATTTGGGATAAGGGTTAACCACGGTTAGTATCCCTCCCTCCCGATACCTTAGAGCCTAAACCAAAACTGGACCAAAAGCTGTAAGTTGCGTAAGTTGCGCTTTACAAATGAGGCACCAAGGCCTTATATAGAGTTGGACACAAACATGGATGGAAAATGAGCTCTATTTTTTGTTCAAAAAGAAAATCGCAACCTTTGGGTGGTAGCAATGTGGAAAAGACCAACCTAAGTCCCTAGAAAGCAACCTTCAAACCATACCTATGTATGGGGCCTCATTTTTCATGTTGTGGCATCAAAATGAGCGATCTATCACCAGGAAAACATAGATTGGGTTACCATGGTCCGTTTGTGATAAATTTGACCCAAAACGCGAAGATTTAAGTGAGTTTCAGGTCCCTTTTAGTTGCTTGAATAAAAAATCAGCCAAGCACCCTTTTCCATACACTTCTTCATTTTGCGGCAGGTTTTTGTAGGATTGGTGTCCTATGGCCAGAAAATGGTAGGGCTCAATCCTACATATATTTCAAGAATCACTCAAAAATACCCCGTATTGCGCAAGTTGTGGTTCTTCTATTCCATGAAAATCATAAAAATCAGAATTCTCAAACACAAATTGCCACCAAAATGCCCATTGATCCATACTTTGATTGTAGCTTCCCATACATCATCAGAAAGCTTATCGAGTTATGATTCCAATGCCTTATCAGGGGTTTCTACTGTGTTCCTTTATTATATACTCCACAGGGTCCCCCTCCATGAAATGTGAAGATTCCCCAAGTTAGGGCCCAAAATACATCCATCAAGGGGCCCAACTGCCAATTCTCACGTTTTCGGCAGTTTTCAATGCATTTTGGCATCAAAATCCTATCGGAGCTGACGGCCCGGCATATCTTTGATCTGTTGGCCGTCCTCGAATATGAAGCATCATCATCGCTATATTTTGAGACTTTTAGGGCATGACAAGGACCTGATACATGCCCTTCGGTTTCAAATGGGCCTTTTGGGTGTAGTTGCACTGTTATATGATCCACTAGGGCAGGTGATAAAAAACCCATGTAAACAATATAAAGATGACATACTTGGCAGAACTCTTTTTTCCATGCTTTGAAGCAAGAAACTAATGTAACCAGATGGAGTTTCATAAACTGTTTTAACAAGGACATAATAGACACTTTCAAAATTCCAACACCTCATCCCATTTCCCCATCTCTACACATAATCCTATCCAATTTCCCCATAAATTGTATCATATAACTTCAAGGGAGTCCATATGCGGCTTCCATCCTCTCGACATCCCCATCTTGTTTGACTGGATTTCCCATCAGTTGCCCCCATTATCAATAGAGCTAATGCCATAATAAATGGAAATAACCTTTTAGGGCATATAAATCAGTATGCCTAATATCAGATCCAAGGACTCAAGAACCATGATGACTGAATCAGTCTCCAAGTTATAAAAATTTCCAGCAGCCTTCTAGGGTTTATTTCAAATAAGTGTGCAATTGCTAAAGCAGTCAAAGTTAAGCACCAAAATATTGCAGTGAAGAATATTCAAAAGATGAGAAAAGAAAGAGTGAAAGAAGACACCACATTATTTGTTCTTCTTTTGAATTATTCTTAAAATTTCCTATACGCGTCAATATTTATCAAGACTCCAATTAATCTCAAGCCCCTTTGAAGAAAAATTGGCCATTATCATATCTGAAAAAATGAAAAAGAAAACAAAAAAGTCGCACACGGGATAAAAAAGAGTTTTAAGTAATGGTAAAAATAAATGAATTTGATTCAATTAACCAAATAAAGTTTAGAAACTAAATGTTTTACTAACAAAATAAAAAATTTCTAAACATTTGAAATAAGAAATTATAAGATCAGCCATAGCAATATGAACGTTAAAAATAAAAAAATAAAAAAAAAATCTTATAAAATATAATTAAAAGAACATAAATAGAAATAGCAACACGGAAACTATTGCTCAAAGTGGAAACAATAAACTCATATGTAATTGTATACTTCCATAAATCAAGCAAGAGAGGGCTTCACGAGAACATAAGAGAAACCCTAAAAAGCAAAGATTTTTGCCATGATATTGGGAGGAAAAAGTTGCAGACATACTCTCATTTCCATTGCCAAGAACTTGAGGCTGCTTCTCCTGTTGAGATGACAACAATTGTAATGATGATGTTGATTGTTTGGGAAGAGAGGAGAGTTGTCCAGTAATAAAAGCCAGGCGATCAGACCCCCTCTCCATTATTCTCTTTCTTCGAGCTTCTCTTTCACTCGCCATCTCTTTCTCAGTCTCTATCTATCTCGCCAATGAAGCTCCAGCCTGTCTCCCTCTCTCTCTCTCTCTCTCTCTCTCTCCGCGTACTCTTACTTTACGTAGTAGTAAGAACGTAGAACGAAGTAACTAACTACCGACCTACTACTACTTACCTTCCTTACTAACCTAACTAACT